CCAAAATTTTTTGAAACCCACCACTGGCAAGGATCTTGTACCTTGACAGCTTTAAGACTTGCATGCTTCAATGCCAGAGTTTCTGAATAGCTACTTGGACCGACCTAAGTACTAATTCATAATTTCACTCCCATCCAGTCACATGGGTGGCAAGCCACTCCCACAAAGGACGCCACACCCACAGAGTAGGTTCTAACAATTTTGGAAACCCACCACTGCCCCAGGAGTACTCTACAGGCTTCGGCTGGGCTGGGGTAAGGCAAAAATGCCTCCGTTTTTGCAAAAAAAGAGAAGAAGTCAATTTTTCACTTGTTTTTTACAAAAGTGGGATGCGGGGGTGGGGCTTCAGGAGGCCAAAAATGGCTGCATTCAGTGTATAAGACGCACCAATATCTCCACGCTCTTTTAGGGGGGGAAATGTGTTCTTATACTCTGAAAAATATGGTACTTGTATTGGGCGGTGTCATTCTTTATCAAGAAATTCAATCAACTCATTAAAATCCAAGAACATAACTTTCCTTTTCCAGCTTTGTCAGTTTTAGAATGGATGGACTTCAACTCCCAGACTCCATAGCTGGCTGGGGAATTCTGGGAGTTGAAATCCACCCAACTCAAAGTTGCTAAAGTTGAGAAACACTGCTCTAAACCAACATTCATAGCTGGGGACTCAAGTACTAAGTGTTTTCATCCCAGCTTTCTTAGGTCAATTGGGCAGTATCCACACCCCAGTTCTCCACCCATTCTGTGTCTGGCCCTTTCGTTTAAATTCCAGGTAGCTGGCATGGAGGGACTTGGTTTCTTCTGCTTGGCTGACTTCCTGGGCTCGTGTCCTGGACTTTTGCCCGGTGGTCAAAATTTGTGCGTGTGAAGCAATGAAGCAATGTTAAAATATTCATGACTGGGAGAGACATGGGAACAAGGTCAGCCAGTGAATAGGCATAGCAACTAAGTCAGCCAGGGGGAGCTTAAAAAGACCTGAGTCTGTGCAGAGAATTAAAACAGAAACTTAAGCAGTCCGCTGCTCTGAGAAGTAAACAAGCAGCTGTTGGTATTGTACATTTATTAATGTGTTATTATATATATAAAGAAGTTAACGAGTCCAGCTGAATCAGTTATCTGTGTGTGCTTTCTGGATTTGAATTTATGCAACAAACTCTGACAAGCAATGCAACAAATGAAATTCTTCTGTCCAGTTTGCTGACAACCAGTAAATGTATGCATTCTATTTCCAGTGCACTGTATGCTTATAGGTCAAACTGAGAATGAATGAATGAATGAATGAATGAATGAATGAATGAATGAATGAATGAATGAATGAATGAATGAATGAATGAATGAATGAATGAATGAGTCAGTCAATTAAAAAAGTCAATGACCAATCCATCGATGAATCTATGAATCTATGCATGAATCTATGAATGAATAATCAATGAATGAATGAAGTCAACTAACCAACCAATCAACAGATCTATGAATGAATGGCTGAATGAATCAATCTCTACTAATGAATGACTCGATCAAGTCAATCAAGCAGTCAATGAATGAATGAATCTATGCATGAAACTATGAATGACTGAATGAATTATCAATGAATGAATCCATGAATCAATGAATGAATAAGCAATCTACAAGTCTATTAATGAATCAATCAAGCCAATCAGCAAATCAGTCTATGAATGAATGAATCTATGCATGAGTTTATGAATGAATAGTAAATGGATCTGTGAATGAATCAATCATGTCAGTCAAATCAATGAATGAATGTATAAATGAATGACTGAATGAGAGTGAATCTATGCATGGATCTATGAATGAAGGAATGAATCAACAATACCATTTGGAAGTTGTTGAATTAGCTCGACTTGTGGAAACCGATGGATGAGGCTTAGAATGAACTGATTTACAGTGGCTGGCCAGAATTTCATTTTTTTATTTTGTCTCAGTGGAAGACACAGATTGGAAGACATTTCTAATTCAACATTGCTAACTTCACCTTGGGAAACAACCACGGAGGTGGGTTGCAAGCTTCCTGCTAATTTTGTCTTTCTTCTTCTTTATCCATCAGTGGAAACACACCTGTTACGGTTTGGGGTACCAACCTGGATCTCATCCAGAACCCTCAGATACGGGCCAAGTATGGCGGGAAAGAACACATCAATGTGAGTTGATTTAATTTAAAAAATAGGATACTCAAAGGCCGAAAGTGGGAAACATAGGAGGTTGATTGTCCCCCACCCCCTATAATGAGATCAGTGCCATCTCTGTTATCCTTCTGGAAGTCCCTCAAGACTTATCACCGGGAGATGCAACCTAGAACTAAGGAGAAATCTCCTAACAGTGAGAGCAATCAATCAATTGCCTCCAGAAGTTGTGGGTGTGCCAACACTGGAAGTCTTCAAGAACAGCCATTCATCCAGAATATTATATAGGGTCTCCTGCTTGAGCAGAGGAGGTGGTGGACCAGATGACCTCCAAGGTCCTTTCCAACCTTGCTATTGTTAAGACCCGATCATGTCACCAGGCCTGAGGCTCTCAGAGAAACGGGGATATTCCTAGATATTTCCATGGTAGGTGATCTTTGACCCTCTCTCTGTGTTGATTGGGTAAGTGTTGACTTACTCCAAGGAAGACCAGGTCTTCACTTACAGCTCAAAGTCTGGAGAGATTCTCCGTCACCCAAGTCATGGTTGTCCCAAAGGTGCTTTTCTTTTTCAGGAGGCAACTGGACTTCCTTCTTTTTTTTCTTTTGAAGACGTTTTGTCAGCATTCCAAATATCATGCGGAATTAAATCAGAGTCCAAAGCAGAGCTATCCTTAAGGTTCCAATTTAATAAGACAGACATGTTGGCACGTAGCTGTGGAATTCCAATACTGGAAATGACATCAGAATTCCACCCAGTTCTGAACTGATAGAATCTCACTCCTGATTAAAACCCAAACTTGCCGGTATACTCAAAGAGCCCAATGTCAACGTTCCAAGTATCATGTAGAATTAAATCAGAATCAAAGGCAAAACGATCCTTAAAGTTCCAATTTAATAAAGCAGAGATCTTAGCATATTGCTGTGTTAATCCCAATACTGGAAATGACATCAGAATCCCACCCAGTTAAAAGTTCATGATCTTGTCCCCACACCCACA